ATTCATGATAAAAGCCCTTGAAATTCTTGGGATACAAGGAACATACCTCAACATCATAAAGGCCATCTATGACAAGCCAACAGCCAGTATCATTCTCAATGGTGAAAAGCTGAAAGCAATTCCATTAAGATCTGGAACAAGACAAGGATGTCCACTCTCACCACTGCTTTTCAATATAATACTGGAAGTCCTAGCCAGAGCAATAAGACAAGAGAAAGACATACAAGGAATCCAAATAGGAAAAGAAGAAGTCAAACTATCACTATTTGCAGATGATATGATAATATACATAGAGAACCCCAAAATCTCCACAGAAAAACTAATTCAACTCATCAATCAATTCAGTAAAGTGGCAGGATACAAAATCAACACGCAAAAGTCAGTAGCCTTCCTATACACAAACAATAAATCTGAAGAAGAAGAAATCAAAAAAACCACCCCTTTTATTATCGAAACAAAAAATATCAAATATTTGGGAATAAATCTAACAAAAGAGGTAAAGGACCTATACAAAGAAAACTATAAAACACTGTTAAAAGAAATAGAAGAAGACACAAAGAAATGGAAAGACATCCCCTGCTCATGGATTGGAAGAATAAACATTATTAAAATGGCCATCCTACCAAAAGCAATATACAGATTCAATGCTATTCCAATCAAAATCTCAATGGCATTCTTCAAAGAAATAGAACAATTATTTATGAAATTCATATGGAATCAACAAAAACCCCGAATAGCCAAAGCTCTACTGAAAAAAAAAGAAGGAAATGGAGGCATCACACTCCCAGACTTCAAACTCTACTACAAAGCCATAATCATCAAAACTGCATGGTATTGGAACAAGAACAGACATACAGACCAATGGAATCGAATAGAAAATCCAGAAATAAACCCACAGACTTATGGTCAACTAATCTTTGACAAAGGAGCAAAGACTATGCATTGGAGCAAAGAAAGTTTGTTCAATAAATGGTGCTGGGAAAACTGGGTCGCTACATGCAAAAGAATGAAGCTTGACCACTACCTCACACCATACACAAAAATCAACTCAAAATGGATTAAAGAACTAGACATAAGACCTGAAACCATAAAATACATAGAAGGAAATATAGGCGAAACACTACGGGATTTGCACATCAAAGACATCTTTACGGACACATCACCCAAAGCAGTGATAGTGAAGAGAAAGATAAACAGCTGGGACTACATCAAATTAAAGAGCTTCTGCACAGCAAAAGAGACAATAACAAAAACAAAGAGAAACCCCACCAACTGGGAGAACATTTTTGCACCCAACACTAATGATAAAGGACTGATCACAAAAATCTGCAAAGAGCTGATGAGACTCAGCAACAACAAAGAAAATAATCCAGTCAAAAAATGGGCAGAAGAGCTAAAAAGAAACTTCTCTGAAGAGGAAATGCAAATGGCCAACAGACATATGAAAAAATGTTCAACATCACTTGTAATCAGGGAAATGCAAATCAAAACTACCATGAGATACCATCTCACACCAGTGAGAATGGCACATATTAAAAAAACTAGCAACAACAAATGTTGGCGAGGATGTGGAGAAAAAGGAACTCTTGTGCACTGTTGGTGGGAGTGCAAACTGGTCCAACCACTATGGAGAGCTGTGTGGAGATTTCTGGACCTACTAAACATAGAGCTTCCATATGATCCAGCAATTCCACTCCTAGGTATTTACCCAAAGGACACAGAAACATCAATTCCAAAGAGCACCTGCACTCCTATGTTTATAGCAGCACTGTTTACAATAGCTAAGCTTTGGAAACAACCCAAATGCCCAAAAATAGATGACTGGATCAAGAAGATGTGGTACATATATACCATGGAATATTACTCAGCATTCAAAAAAGATAAACACATGCAATTTGCAGCAACATGGATGGCGCTGGAAGGGATCATGCTCAGCGAAATAAGCCAAAAAGAAAAAGAAAAATACCGGATGGTCTCACTCATAGCAGGAATCTAGAAAACTTAAATAAGGGACCAGGAAAATGAATATAAGAAAGTGAAAATCAAAATCAACAAAAAACTATGAACCAGAGACACTTGTTGGGGGGTGGGGGGCGGGAGGGGAAGGATTGGGGTCAGAATGGGGCGTTTGCAATTGTATGGGGGAATATAAAAATAAAATTTAATATTAAAAAAAAAAAAAAAGAGAGAGAGAGAAAAGGTCAAACATCTCACAGACCCATCTCTCTTTTGGCACTTAGTAGAGACTAAAGGACACTTCATAAATCAGTGGGGTTAAGAGCAGATTACAGAGTAGAGAGGCTTGAAAAAACTGTCTTAGGATTGAAAAAAATATATAATAATAATATTAATAACAACCAAAAAAATTATATCCTCTTTAGAGGAAAGTAACATTAGCCAGAACCTATATAATTACTCATACACCTGTCTGGAAGTCAATCAAAATTATCACAAATGCAAAGAAATAAGACAAAACAATCAAACGTGAAAAAAGAAATAGGCAATAGCAACAGACCCATAGGAGATCCAGATAAGGTAGTCACTTAACAGGGACTTTAAAATGACTATGAATAATATGCTCCAAAAAGCAAGGGGGAAAGATGGAAAATTTCACACAAAGGCAAAGATATTCTTAAAAAGAAGTATAAATTCTAAAACTGAAAAATGAAATAACTGAAATTAAGTTACTAGGTATGTCTAACAGAATATGAGACATGGCAGAAAAGAAGAGACATGTCTGGGAAATCAATCAAGACAAAATATCTAGATTGAAGTACAGAGAGAAAGAAATGGAGATAGAAAAGAATATTTTTAAAGACCTCTAGACACAGTGGAAACATTTCCAAATTAAAAGTAAAAAAGAAAAAATGCATTGTAACCCAAGAAATAATAAAGGAGATACTAAAGAAATAATAAAGGAAATACTTCAAGAAAAAAGGAAATGTGAATGAAATAACTATTACAATAAAAAAATTATGACTGCATTAAGAAGTCCAAATATAAACTGCTTATAAGAGACATGCTTTAAATATATCCTAGACAATAAAAGAATCTCAATATATAACAAAAATTGAAATCACATAAGAGTACATATATCCAGGGCAGGAATAAGCTAAAAATCAAAATCAAAAAGATAACCAGGGGCCTCCCAGTGGCGCAGCGGTTGAGCGCTGGGTTGCGAAGCTGCCCACAGCCTCTGCAGCACTGGTTCAATCCCTGGCTGCTCCCCAGCCACTGGAGGAGGGTCCTGCATGGTGCATGGTACGCAGACCTCTCCTGCCGCCCGCTGCTCCCCTCAGCAGTGTACTTCGGTCCTTCTGCCTGCTCTGCTCCCCGCTCTGGCTCTGGTGAATTCTCTCACCCTCCTGCGCTTCTGACTGTACCCAGTGCTTGTATAAATAAATAAATCTTTAAAAAAAAAAAATAACCAGAAAAATATTCCAGATGTTTTGAATTAGTAAGTACATGTCTAAGTAACCCAGGGGTCAAAAAAAGAAAAGAAGAGAAAAGGATTTAACAATGGAAATCAGAAACTGTATTAACTAAATGAATATATGAAAAATTAACTTGTGGGATACAAAGCACTACTTAGAAGAAATTTGTAGATTTAAAAGGTCTTACCAAAAAAGAAGGCTGAGAATCAATTATTTAATCCATATCAATAAGTTTAACAATAGCAAGTTAAACTCAGTGAAATTAGAATGATGAAAATAACAGCAGATACCAAAATAAAAAACAAAAAATCCAAACATTGATTCTTTGAAAATAGTATACACTAGTATACAGTGAGAAACCCCTAGAAAGGCTAGTCAAAAATGGAGAAAACAGGGTCTCCCTGGTGGTACAAGGTGTTAAGCACCAGCACTATGAAACAATCTGCAGCTACTGCAGCATGAGTTCGATTCCTGGCCAAGGAGGTGACCCACATGGAACAGCAGACTTCTCCTGTCTCGCTGCTCCCCTCAGCAGTGTATTTCAGTCAATCTGCCTGTTCTGTTCCCCAGTCTGTCTCCCCACTCTGTCTCATCCCCTGCCTCTCTGGCCTGTACCCCAGTTCTTTTATGCATAAATAAATAAATCTTTTTAAAAAATAGAAAAAACACAAATTACTAGTATCGGAATGAAAACACAGACATTGTTGCAGGTCATACAGACTTTAAAGAGATAACAAGAAAATAGTGTAACTGTATGATATATCAATAAATTTAAATGTAGATAAAATGGTCAAATGATTTAGAAAAATATTACTTGCCAAATAAGAAGAAATATGAAATTCTAATTTTAAAAATGTTTCAAGTGAAACATTAATTAAAAATCTTTCCACTTGATGCTCAGCACTCATTTCTACATTAATTTCTCCCAAATATTTAAGAAAGAAATAACTCCAACCTTATACTAAACCTTGAAGGTATAAAGAAAGAGGACCCATTTCTAGCATATCCCAGATACCATAATCTGACAAGGCTATTGCAAAAAAGGAAATTTGCCAGTCAAATATCTTCCACAAACTTCTACACAAAATACTAATAAATTGAATGAATCCAATAAGATATAAAAAGCTAATAGAGCATAGTCTACTGAGACGTATTCCAGGAATGTAACATTCAAAAGTCAGTCAATGTAGGAATCAAGATTATTGTGAAAGAATAAGAGGAGAAAGGATTAGGTAAAAAAAAAAAAAAAAAGGCCCAAGGGAGTCTTGTGGGTGCTGACTCATTGCCACTTCTCTGGCCTCCCACAGAAAACATCTCTTATATCACATTTACCTGACCACGTGACTGCAGGTTTGTTTGGGGACCATCTACTAAAGCCTTCATGAACTCTGAGAAGGGCCAAGTAAAATATAAGAATCTGCCCCCAGCTTCCAGGGTGTTTTCTCCCCAACATAATCTACCTTCCCTACATCCCAGGCTTAGTCCGAGAGCCAAAGAGACCGAAGGTCCCACAAAAGCCACCAGGGACTGGACAGTTCCCTGGAAATGGTCATCACTGTGGCTCACCTGAGGGGTGGGGGCTGGCTCCCCTGCCGCTTGAAGGCCCTTTCCAGCCTCTCCTGGGTAGATCTGGCATTCCCACCTGGCAAGTAGAAATTCAAGGGTGTCCTGTTGGCCTCTGGGGCGCCGTCCACTGCTGGGCTATCTTCTGAAAGATCTCTCCACCAGCCCCTCTCCCTGTGGGGCAGCCCTTTGCTTGGCAAGTGAGGAGGGCTACCAGGGGTGCTTCTCTGCTTGTCTGAACACAGCTCGCTGTGCTGGCCCAGGGGGCTCCTGGGAGTGGAGCCATTGCTCAAAGCCAGGCCTTCCTGGGGGGCAGGACAGGCCTGAGTGCAGGCAGAGAGCTCTGGCACCTTCCGGCTCTCTTCCTCATGGGGTTGGGTGATGTTGCTCAAGGCCGAGGACCGCCTCAGAGAGCGCTTGCGGAGGGAATCCTGGAAGGTGCAAGGACAAGAACAGTGAGGTGCCCCTACATGGGGAGGAGGGCAAGACTTAAGCCCACTACAAGCATTTGCCCATGATGTTCCCTGTCCCGGAAATGCCCACCACTTCAGTAATGCTTCCATTGCACCCACCCACATGCATAAACCCCCAAAGCATGCAGCAGCCCTCCTCTTATCCCCTTTACAGACAGCACGTTCCAGGAGCAGGTGAAGCTGGAGCTCCAGACCTACGTTCCAAACCCTGAATGACCACCTGCCAGGTGGTCTCCGGGAGCAAGTCACTGAACTTCTGTGTCCGTCACTTCCCTCCCCATCATATAATGTGTCCACAATCCACTGTGCGTAATTTCTAAATCTCTCCCAAAAGGAAAGTTTCTTTTGGAATCCTTGACAAGTTCTTTTCAACTGTTACAATATTGCCTGGTCATTTTAAGTGTGAATATGCATGTTTAATTGCAGAAACCCCAAAACCCACATGGTATGTGGTTTATGCAATGCATTTCCTTTCTGAAATTAAAAAAGAAATTCTAAATTCCAAAACACATCTGGCCCAAAGATTTTGGATGTGGAACCGCGGACATGCATTACCTGTCTTCCCAATATTACGGTAAGGATTTAATGAGAGATGTGTGTAAAGCACTAACACAAGAGTCGGCCCATCAGAGCAGTCAACTGTTAGCTACTGCTGTGTATTTGCCCCGTCCCCACCTACTGATGCCTTAACTCCTCCTGCTGGCAGACCAGGAATGCCAGAGGCCATTCTTGACTCATGTCTGGTGTCCACAGAGCTAAGAGCTCACTGACCTTAGCTCAAAATTTGCTTAGTTTTGAAGTGAAGGCATTCCAAAGGAGTCAGCTGAAATGCCATCTCCTAGTATCAATGATTAACTGATTAAATGGAAACTCACGTTGATACCAACCTCTGGTCGGGCAGTGGAGAGGGAGGGAACAAAAATAGACTCGCTGGACTTCTCCTGGGTTTAATTTCTGGACCTTTCAGTATTTCCAGAAAATAATCCAGAGCCAAATGGTAAAACCTATGCTAGAATATGAACAGCTAATTCTGTAGTGTTCTCCCCTAGTGGAAATTACTAGGTACTATAAACCTCCTGCAAAAGCCAGCCACCCAGGGCATCCCCTGAGGAAAACATTAGTCACCATTTCCAGAAACTCAATCTTGCAGCCAAGGGCAGGAAACCCTGCCTTTTATTCATCCCTCATAAGTGCAGAGTTGCTCTAATAGTAAAAATGATGAAATCCTTAGCAGACCTTGCTCATTTCTCTTGAGCAACCAATAAGTATGACCAATGTACTCAAAGACCTACTAAATACCTTCCAGAAAACTTGAGAAAATACTAGAACATCCCATCCTTCAATGTCCTGAATCTTGAATCGCAGGATTCAAACAACCACACCTCCTGAAACAGTTACTGAAAGGAGAATTTTCAGCAGTCTCTTGGCCGTACAGCAGATCCACATCATCTTCCTCACTCCTCACTTATGAGGGGGCTCTCAGCTGCACACACTTGATTAGTATGTTAAGGTCAGACAGAAACCTCGCATTCATGTACCATTTCTCAAAGTGTGATCCCAGTCGTGCCCTCCGGAACCACCAGGCAAGTCTCTAGCCCCAGGCCAACACAGGGCCACACGCCCCGCTCTATGTGCATACGGAGGAGTCCCTGTTCTCTGGGAGCTTAGACCCACACTCAGGATGGCAGGCAGGGTTCATGTCTCCCACCACTCCAACCCATCTATTGGAAGAAACTACCTAGGATGACCAGGAGATTCTGACGTCACATCTGGGCTTGACAGGAGAAAGAGCACTGAGATCAATGCACAGTATCTGCCACAGACATGGTGGCATCAGGGGTACTAGCCCAAAAGCCACATACATGCCCTCCTGTGGCTAACCTATTCCTACCTCCACATATGAAGAAATGTTTTACGTTCTATCCCACTTCCCACAGCTTTTTCTCAGGCATAAACATTCTCCTACCTTTCCTTTTCCCCTAAACTCTTCACCTTCCCAGTTCCTTTCTTCTGGGCATCGTCCAGCTTATAAATCAAGAGGTCAAGGAGTGGCCTGAACCACCCAGAGGACAGCAGACCCTCATGTCCCTTGATCTGGACACCAAGACTGCGTGACCACTTCAGAGCTCTGACACCCCAGTCCTCAAAGGAGCTTTTGACACCTGGTCTTACAGATGAGATCACAGCCAAGGGAAAAAGACCTTGATGAAAAATCTCAGGAGACGTAGGTAGAGATAGGGAGATGGTCACTTCCTTCTGTCCCAATTTCAAAACAATTGGGAGAGCAGTGCTAGCGTCTCCAGCCCAGTCCATGGCTAAACATGCAGCACATGAGAGTGGAGGTGGCCGAGCATGGACACAGATGATCTGCGTCTGGTTTGTTCAGGCTCCTGAACTTGATGGATACTACACTTTGAGTTTTGTGTTTGAATTGCCTCTGTTTTTCTGGTTGTTTTTGTTGTTATTTTACAAACTCCTTTTACATTCATTCTCTCATTTGATTTAGTCTCCCCACCTAATGGGACCCTAACACAATCTCTCCTTAAGGAACACTAAACAACATTAAATTTTTAGAATGCTTTTCTAAAAGAAAAACAAATGAAACTATAATTTCTCCTTTTCTACTCATTAGAAACAGCAAGAGCAATAACCTCACCTGTGGGGAGCTGGCGATGGGCCCAGCCATCATGCCGCGGACAATCAGGCCAGACTTGGGCCTGATCTTCTCTCCCATCTTCTTCGTGTCTAAGGAGAGCTCGGATGACTGAGGCTTGTCCATCTTCTCCCATGCAGGGGCCAAGGGGGGACTTTCACCCAGGACACTCTGCATGGGCTTACTTTTGTGGAGGGGTCTTTTAGATGATACGAAATTACCAAGTACATCCCCATCAAGATTGTCAGGTCTGCAAAGAAGGGTATTTCCATTACAACAGTCTTCAAATGAAGTTACTAAAAATGGTACTAAATTCCACAGTCAAAATCACTCATGGCAAGCTCATTCAAAATCCACAGTAATAGCTAATTACCCAGTGCTTTACAATTAAAAGCAAGGAAGAGAAAATACTTTCACATCAGGGCAGGTCTGGCCTACAAAACAAGACCAGGGAACAAGATACAAAATCAAAGTTGATGACCCATGACAGGATCCTTCAACTTCTCAATAGAAATAACATCCTTGCTTCTTTGAAACCTAAGTAATAAAGGAAACCTGTAGCCTTCAATACAGTCACGAGATGTGTGGATTTCAACCTTTCTGCACTCCGCTGAGAGTAGTAGGTAAACTTGGCATTCCCCACTGCTAAGGTTCAGTAGAGTGAGGCATGCCAGTGGCTTCACTTCTTGGATTGCTTGGCACTGAACAAAAGAAAAAGAATAAGAGACAGATAGGGGGTTGTGTGGGTGTGTGTGTGTGTGTATGTGTGTGTGTGTGTGTGTGTGTGAGAGAGAGAGGGAGAGAGAGAGAGAGAGAGAGAGAGAGAGAGAACACTAGCGGGTGAGAGACAGAAAGAGCAAGAAAGGAGTGAAAAAGAACAAGACAAGAAAAAACCAGAGACAGAGCAAGAGACCCAGGCAAAGCGGAATCTTACCCATGATCACTCAGATAACCTCTCTGACACAGGTGGGGTTACTTCCTGTCATTGACCTCTGGCATTGACACCTACTCTATACCAAGCTGCTTACCAAACACTGGGTCTCACATGAGAGAAGTGGTTACATGGGCTATGATGGAGGCATGTCAAGTAGAGGAAAGGCCTGGAATCAGCCTGGGGAAACCTAGAAGGGCTTCTAGAGAAGGGCTTCTAGAAAGGCTTCTTTCAGCTGCACCTGAAAGAAAGGGTAGGCAGGAGGTGACCAGGGGGAGGCCCCAGGCACCAACACACAGATCTGCAAAAGCAGGATCTGCACAGGTGAGTAACGGGTTTTGCAAGTTATCATAAGGAATTTGGACTTAATTTTGAAAACTCCAGGGAGTGTCTTAAGACCTTTCAGCAAGGGAGCAACATGGCCAGAATTGTTTTGCAGAAAGTCCACACATCTTGGGTCAAGGGTGGGTTCCAGGAAAGGATCATTAGAGGTCTCAAGACTAGAGAAGAGGCCCTGGGGATTAGCCAGGGAAAGACAGGGTGACCTGAATCCATTGCCACTGGGACAGAGAAAATGGGGAATCTATCATCATTAAGCACTCAAACATGAAAGAAAAAAAGATAGACAAGCAGTCCAAGTTAATACCCAAGTTTGTAGAGCAACTGGATAGGATGCAGAAGTTTCAGTTATAGCAGTTCTGTATCTTTTATTGTTTCAGAATATTAATTTACCTGTCAGGCAATAAGTGTCTTTGAAGGAGGGACCACCTTTTTCATATAACCACATCTTTTTTTTTTAAAAGATTTATTTATTTATTTACACAAGAACTGGGGTAATATAGGCCAGATTTGTGGGAGGGTGAGAAGATTCACCAGAGACAGAGCAGAGAACAGAACAGGCAAACTGACTGTTCTGTCTGCCTGCCCGGCCGGGATCAAACCAGCACTGCAGAGGCTGGGGACAGCTTCAGAGCGCTGCACTCAACCGCCTGCACCACCAGGGGAGGCCCTAACCCTCATCTTTTATAGCTTTTGTTTTGAGTAAATATGCTCTACTGGTCCCCATCTTTTGGCAACTTGACACCCAGACGTTAAGCTTTGGATGCCCTCAGGAAAAGGAAATGCTGGTAGAAAATACCCATTCCCAGGAAGTTAGGTTCATTATTGGTGACTACATGCAGCATATTAAGGTTTTAATTTAACATAAATGTCTTCCAACTAATAGAAGTTCAATCAAGAATACCTATCCATTTTCTTTTTCAAGTTCTAAAAGGCCTTATTTTTCACATTTTTCCATCTCTACTGTATTTCACTGCCTTTTAGAATTATATAATGCTGTTTTCTAAGAACACTCAAGCAAAGCAATCCCCTAAATCTTACAAATCGGGGATTTTAAAATAAACATTTTTAGGGCCTCCCTGGTGGCGCAAGGGGTTGAGATGCAACCTATGGAGCTCACCACAGCCACTGCAGCAAGAGTTCGGTCCCCAGCCAGGGAGCTACCCACATGGCACAGCAGACCTCTCCTCGCTCGCCCGCTGCTCCCCTCAGCAGTGTACCTGTTCTGTTCCCCACTCTGTCTCTGGTGAATCCTCTCACCCCAAACACCTCTGGCCTGAAACCCCATTCTCGTATGCATAAATAAATAAATCCTTAAAAAAATAAATAATAAAATAAATAAAATAAACATTTTTAATCATATTTATCCTCCATCTCATGGCCTCTAGGGGAAAACACAGGGCCTCACACCAGCGGTTTTGAAAGCACAGTTGGAAGGTTGAATCATGGCCCCCAGAGATGTCCAGTCCTGATCCCTGAACCTATAAACACTTACATGGCAAATAGGACTTTACAGGTATGATTAAGTTAAAGATTTTGAGATGAAGAGATTATCCTGGATTATTATCTGGGTGGGGAGGGGGAAGCGTAATCACAGGGTCCTTGTGAGAGAGGAAGACCAGAGTCGGTAGTAGTAGATATGACACAGAAGCAGATGTTGTAGTGATATGCTCTGAAGATGGATAAAGCAGCCACAAGCCAAGTAATATAGGCAGATTCTAGAAGTAAAAAAAAGAAAGAAAACAGATTCTCCCCTCAAAGTCTCTAAAAGGAACCAGCTCTACTGACACCTTTCATTAGCCCAGTGAAACTGCCATTGGACTTCCGATCTCTAGAACTGTAAGACAACAAATTTGTGTTGTTTAGGATACCATGATGGTTAATTTTTATCTGTCAGCTAGGTTAGGCTGTGGTCCCAGTTGTCAGATAAAACATCAGAGTAGATGTTGCCACAAGCTATTTTCTGGATGTGATTAACATCTAAAATCAGCTGACCGTAAAAAATAAAGGCGATTACCCTAGTTAATATGAGTGGGCCTCCTGCAAACAAATGAAGGCCTAAAGAGCAAAACCTAAGGTTTCCCAGAGAAGTTTCTGCCTCAAGACTAACATAGAAATTCTACCCGAGCTTCCAGGATGCTTGTCTTCCCTACAGAATTCAGACTTGCCAGCCCCAACAATTGCATGAGCCAATTCCTTAAAATTACAAATATTTATATGTATACATATACTTATATACACTTACATATGTACATCCACACACACACACACATACATATACATATAAAATTTTCTATTGGCCCCCGTTGATTTTGTTTTCCTGGAAAATTTTGACTGTTACAGCTACTAAGTTTATAGTAATTAATTACAGCAGCAATAGGAAATTAATCCACAGTGTAAATAAGAAGAGATACCTGGATTTGCTTGTTTCTGACAATGATGCTCTCCATCCTGCATCTTCATTTGCAAGGTCATATATATTTACCAGTGTGGTCTCTGAGCACCTCAATGGCAATTTGTTATTTTTCTTTGGAATTGATAGTGCAGGGATTGTTGTTTCTTGAGTGAAATTATTAGCAGTATTTTCAAAGTGATCCAGAAAATATCTGGTAATAAGTTCAAGGTTTGTTTTCAGAGGATTTTCCTTTGCCTATCATTGGGAGGAAAAAAAATCATTAATTGTGTGTACAGCTTGAGGAAATGAGAAAGATGGCTATTCCAAACTTTGATAAAGTTTATCAATTTCTCATTCATTCATACATTCTTTCAGGAAATGTTCATTAACTGCCTATTATACATCAGATCCTGTTAGGTAGCAACAAAGAGAGGAAGTTAAAATCTCTACCCTAAAAGAATTAGCACATCGGTCAATTCAATGAACAATTGTAATAAAGTGTGATAGCAATAGAGAATTACCCAAGCAAATTTCCTCTTGATTTATTCTCCTAGGAATAACTTTATAAAATATGTACCTTTTCATTAAAAAAATTCAACCTTTAGAGATTGTTAGCTCTACAAGTTTATAAACATTTGAAACCTGAATATTTTTTTAGTCTGTTACTCCACATTTAACATTGAACACTAGGGAGTACAGAGACAGCATAGCAGAAAGTTATTGCAAAGAGCATAAAGTGGCAGTCAGGGTTGACTCAGTTTATCCTAAGCTTTTTGAGAAGATAGAGATAAAATGAAATTCTTCGTTAGTAGACTCTGGACAAAAATTATACTAGTATTTCTCATCCTTACTGCACCAAATATTACTTTTGGAGACGTTTTTTTTAAACACAGGAGACCCGGCCAACTGACTCTTACAAAGTCAGAATCACAAGGATTAGAGTCCTTATTTCTTTTTAAAATTCCCCTAAGTCATTGTGTTGGGCAGACACAGTGATTTAAACAGCAAGCTTACCTCAGAGATCAGGCCATGTCCTGAGGCAGTTCCCACCCCACCTGCACAGGAACACCCAGGTCAGACCAGGGGCATTTGGTGAGATTGCAAACAGATTGAGAAGGCACCTCACAGAGAACATGGCACAGAGCGAACCCCTGGGCATGCCAGTCCTTCCCCTTCCTATTCCTTAATATAAGCAGCAAAACTTGGCCCAAGACACAGAGCCAAACGTGTTAGCACCAAATTCAACAGATTTATCCAGCAATTAAAATAATGGAGTTGTTTTTTGTTTGTTTTGTTTTTTTTTAGCATAGGACCCCAAAAATATACTTTGCCTAAGTCTAAACTTAGAAGGACTAGATGTGGGGGAAAGATGTTATATAATTTATATCAGTTATTGTGTTTATTTCAATATAAGAAAGATTCAGATTGCTGGATTACCTGAATTACCTTGTGGCTTTTCATATCACTTTGCTCATAATAGACCAGGCTTTATGTGAATCTGCACACAATTTTTCAAGACCTCAGTTTTACACATAGGTATTTCTGTCTATCGTATACTTAATGAGGAAAAACAAGTCACTGGAATTAACATAAAATTTCAGGGTTTTTCCAGAATCATGTGAGGTTTATGATGAGTGATAATCAAAATTATTATATAGTTGATAGATTAATAAATATACTTTTTATAAAATATAATCTCCAATTCATTATATAACAGTATAAATCAAATAATCAGGGCATTTATCAAGATCTAATGAAAATATCTTAAATATTTTAAGATAATAGTTACCTTTGGGAAACTATCTTATGGTAAAGAAATAAAAATAACTTGAATGGCAAAGATATTTCTGTGCAATTCTATAAAGTTGCATTTACATAAAAATCCTACCATACGAGAATGGTTAACTGAAGTTTTCTGGTTAACTGTCTCTCTGATGTGCAGTCCATTCTCTTGTGTTAAAATGCAGCAAATTGTGGGGTGCTGACTATCAACTGCCTGGGACAATGGTCTTCTTTCCACAGGACTTCAGTGGAGTGCATGCAGACATGGAGGGGTGCAAGTGTCTCAAGGACCAAAGGATGACAACAAGATCTACTTGATGTCCTCACTGAGCTTCTGACTGAACTTCACCCAGCTGCCATTACCCTTTTCTCCTCAAAGAGGAGTACAAAAACTTCTGGCAACTTGAGTGTTCCTGTAGGTTGATGCAGTTGGCTGAGATTTATAAGCTTATCTGAAATTCTATCTTTCATTTACTTTATTAAGAGAAATCTGGCCTAAATTCCTCCCTAAGCTATAATGTACACAAAAGCGGTTTTCAAGCTGTTTTGAGGTTCCTCCTGGAGTTGCAGAAACATCCTAGCCCTGGAGGGCTAGGTAGCGTCTCACCCCATACACCAGTCTGCTAAGATTTCACCTGAGAATAATGTTATGATTTAAATATGCATGACTACCATTGCTAGGAGAGGATTGGGAAGATTTGGTTCTAGCCTCATCCTTGTTTGGTAACTGTGGGACCTTAAACAAGCCACTTTTCCCTGGCTACTGTCCCTGTACTGGGAACCCCATTCTACCAGCAGTGTAAAAGCTGCTTAGCTAGCCCCTGAGGGGCTGCCCCAGAAGTCAAGAGGGAGGACCTCCTCATGTCACTTCGAACAGTCCAGCTTTACTTCTTTTTCGCACACTGGACTTCCACATGAGATAATTATTTTATTGCTTTTTTTAAATGTGATAAATACTGAACTTCATGAACACTAACTAGGTCCTTCCAAACTCTGACATTACGCCCTTCCACAAAGCAACATCTGCCTCAGAGCCCATTCTTAAACTAAATTAGAATATTCTGTCTTCCTAACAATTAAGAGCAATTAAGCCAGAGTGGTAGCTTCATTCATTCACATATTCATTCATTCTTCAGCCAACTATATAACCCCAAAGTACATACTGATTATTTACTACATCATCAGACAACATGTTAAGTATGAGGATACAACAGTGAACAAAAGAGAAGCAATCTCTGGCCTCCTGCTGCGTTCAAGGTTGTAGAGGAGGCAGACACTAATGCAACAAATACACAAATAATCTATCATAAGCATGATAAGCCAACAAAGGAAACTACAGGGAGCCAGGAAAGCTTGTAACAGCAGGTGGGGAGGATCAAGTCTGAGGAAGTTGGGTTCCATTTGCTAGCTCAATCCCAGCACACCTGGGTAGGCTGAAACCAAGCCTGGCTTCTGCCTGAATTATATGTCACAGGAGACTTAAGAATAAGGTATTACTCAGAACTGAAGAAGGAAAATCTTACACAGTAGGGAATGGAAAATTTTCGTATAACTGAATACTATATTCTTAAGTACAGTCTGACTAAAAATAACCTCGTGGAGGAGGAGGGAGCCCAGGGAATAACCGTTAACAGTTTGGGGTTCAAAACGAGTCTCACAGACACTGCGCTTGGGGTGGCCGCGCCAGCAGAGGGTGGAAACCAGACTCACGCTTGGGATTTGTCCAAGCTTGGCTAGGTCTGCTTCTCCCTGACCACAGGTAGGGCAAGCCTCCCGCCACCAGTTGCTAAAGGCCCGACAGGGCCCCTAGCGGGCTCTGACATGGCCAAACTCTGTTCCAGAACCTCACAGCACACCTTCAAAGCCTCTACCTTGTTCTCCTTGTAGAGAAACTCAAGATGCAAAACCTTACGGAGATCGTTTCTGCTGTTTATGCTGAGGTCAGAGCGTGGGCGCTCCTGGTCCATGGTCACACACGTCTTCTTTAAACCCTGAGGGGAGAAATCTGAATCATTATTTACTCTTTTAAATTAAAACCTTCTGTTGCCTGACGCAGAGTATACACAAAAGACTATTGATGCTCATTATGATCAGCCTTATCTTGCCTTCCTCACAAGGTGATTGTGAACCAAAACCTGAACTAGGAATTTACTTTTACGTATCCTTTATACTTGACATCATCTTCACGTTTTTATTCTAAGTCTTACAACAACCTGGAGGGGTATGCTAAGGCCGGAGCCATAGGTCCACTTTATAAGATAGGGAAAGTGGAATTCAGGTAACTACTCACCCAAGGCTGTCTCTGGAGCCCTAGGTTTGACCCTCAATCTGGGGCCACAGAATGTGAAGGTTTAAAAACAAAAGGAAAAACATAAACAAAAGGCCATTATTAATTCCCTCCTTTTCTCAAATGGGGAGCCTGGGCTGATTTGTCCAAGGTAACTGTGGAATTACAGAATGAGATTTCTAACCCTCTCAGACTGTGAGGTCAGCAGGTCGGGACATGGGCCCATAGGAAGCACTTGGTAAACATTTGAGAGTTCCCAGCGAAGCTGCTTTCCATCATCCAGCCTGAAGTCCCAGAAGACCTAGCTAAGACACACTCTGGCAATGGGAAGTCCTGTTCCCCTAAGAGCTTGACTTCTTCATTTGAAAAACAACCACAGCAGCTGCTCTCTGCCCACCTCTCAGGACTATGGTGATCACCGCGTGGCCGGAGGATGAGGCGATGCCTCACAAACAGCTCAGCCCTGTGCTGATGGAAAGCCGTGCTCCTGATGGATCCCAGACCCCAGTGCTGTACGAGTCTCAACCTCTCTCCTACACTTTGTTTTCAGAATCTTACAGGTTCTCAATGCTGGGAAAACAAGACAAAACCTGCTGTCTGCCACGAATTTAAGCAAGAAGAATTTGTGAAAAAAGAGCCTTGAACATAACCTTGAACCAAAGACAATACAAATGAAATCTAAGGAAAAGGAACAGAAAGAAATGGGCGTATATCTTGGGGAAAAGATAGGACATGCCTGGGTGCACTAGAGAATTGATTGGAAGAGAGTTTAAGAGCGAGCACCTATGTTTCATCTAGGCTTCACCATGGCCTTCCCTTCAATCAAAGTAATGTGGGAACTTCTATAATGAGAATTCCTCTCTAATGGATAACTATTTCTGCCAACAGTTCAGACCAGTTAACAAACTCTCTGGAATTATGGTTCACACTTGCATTTGAACATTACTACAGAATTGGATGAGGAATCAGCCAGTCACTGGTCCCATGTGACCCACTTGGTCTTCATTCACTCAACAAAAATTTATTGTGCATCTACTATAGGCCAGGCTGTTCTGGATGGAAGAGATACAAAAGGAATGAGGGCAGGCTCCACCTTCATGGAGCTGCCATTCTGTTGGGGAAGCAACACATAAAGCAGTAAATGGACAGCATGGCAGCTGCTAATAGCCACTACTGTGGAGATAAATAAATAGGAAGAATGGAGACAAAGATGAAGGACACTATTTTAGATAGTTAGTTCTTATCATCCATGTGCTCCATCCTGTCTTCTGGTTTTCACATCTATGAAATGAAAGCCATGAACCACTCATTCATTAGTTCAGCTGCTATAGGCAGAGGAGTAAACACATTAAAGTTCTGGTACACATGAAGTTTATGTTCTAGAAGATCATGTGCTGTGTGAAAAAAAATACATAGCAGAGTAGGAAACAGAGAGGGCAAGGAGGAGTTGTGGGGAAGAGCTGCTACTTTATAAAAGATGGTCGGGAAATGCTTCATGATTAGGTGACATTAGAGCACAGACATGAGGAAAGTAAGGGAGCAGGTCATGCAGGAGCTTGAGGAAGAATGTTCTAGGCAAGGCACAGCAAGTACAAAGTTGCAAGGAGACCAGTGCAACTAGAGTCATGTGACCAGGGGAAAGAGACAGGAATGTCACTTTTTATGAAATAAATGAAAAGAGCTACTGGAGAATTTGAAAAGAGGAACATACCGGACTGACATATTTATGAAGGATGACTTGGCTGTTAGGTTGAGAACAGATTATAGGAGGTAGGGCATTAACCAGAAACCAGTTAGGAGGCTATTGAACAACACACATGAAAGAGAAAGGTGGCTTGGACCAAGGTGGTTAGAGCAGACTGGAAAGAAGTGGCTATGGGCCTCCCTGGTGGCGCAGCGGTTGAGCGTTGAGTTGCGAAGCTGCCCGCGGCCTCTGCAGCGCTGGTTCGATCCCCGGCTGCTCCCCTGCCACTGGAGGAGGGTCCCACATGGCGCGGAGACCTCTCCTGCCGCCCGCTGCTCCCCTCAGCAGTGTACTTTGGTCCTTCTGCCTGCTCTGCTCCTCGCTCTGGCTCTGGTAAATTCTCTCACCCTCCCGCGCTTCGCTTCTGACTGTACCCAGTGCATGTATAAACAAAACAAATAAATAAATAAAACATGCCTCTATAAAATAAATAAATAAATAAAAAAGAAGTGGCTACATTCTCTATGTGCTCTGATGATAAAGCCAACAGATTAACTAATGGGCTGGGTGTAGGGCTCAAAAAAGGAAGAAAATAAGGACTGATTCCAAAGGTTTTGGCCCAAGCAAGCAGAAAGATGGTGATGCTACTTATTGAAATGGGGAAAATTGCAGGAAAGGAGATAGAGGAAATCAGGAATTGAGTAGGGATGTGTTATGTTAAGATGCTTATTAGATATCCAAGTGGAAATGTAAAATAGGCAGTTGGAAAGAATGTAAAAAGTTCAGGGAGAGGTCTTGGCTAGAGACAAACATTTGAGAATTATCAGCATATCGAAGGTATTGGAATCCACAAAAGTGGCAGAGGCACCTGGAAAATGAATGGAGACGAGAAGAGGGTCAGAGACTGAGACTGAGTCTTTGAGTTCCCCAGCATGCAATGCTCAGGGGAATAAACAGAGCAGCAAAGAACCTCAGTAGTGACAGAAGTAAAAGAGAAAACCCAGGAGGAGGTAGTCTCCAGAAGCCAAGGGGAATAAATTTCCATGAAGAAAGACATAATTAACTGTGTCAAACATAATTGTTAGAACAGAAAATATAAGAACTGAAAATCAGAGGTCCTTGATGAACGTGACAAGTTGTTCCCAAGAATTGGTGAGGACAAAAGCCTAAGGAGGATGAATTTGACAAAGGAGGGAAAAGAATTAGAACCAGAGCGCACATGGCACTTTCATGGGGCTTTGCAATAAAAAGGAGAGGAAAAATGGACCAGTAGCTGGAGGGGCTTGGAGGTCCAGGGCTTGGCACTCTGTAGGAACATGTGTATATGTTGGTAAGATAACCCAGTAGAGAAGACAAACCTATGTGCAAGAGAGATGATGGTAACTGCAATAGTGCACACAGAAGGGGACATCCAGAGGAAGGATGGGTCTTATTCAAGCACATTAAGAAATCACCATAAGAAAGGAGGGCAGGTAAATGACTAAGGCCCAGTAAGGCTAGGGGGTGTGGTGGGGGGAGCCTGTAGGAGATTTCTCAGGGCTGCTTCTATTTGCTCAGTAAAACTAGATGGGAAAGGATTTTTGGTTTTTGTTGTTCGTTTAATTCCTTTTTTTTAGATTTATTTATTTATGCATACAAGAACTGGGGTATAAGCCAGAGTGGGGAGGTGAGATGATTCACCAGAAAGAGTGGGGAACAGAACAGGCAGATCCACTGAAATACACTGCTGAGGGGAGTGGCAGGAGAGACAGGAGAGGTCTGCTGCACCATGTTGGTTGCTCCGTGGCCAGCTGGGGATCTAACTCACAATTCACACTGTAGTGGCTGGTGATAGCTTGATAGCGCTGTCTTTAACCCCTGCACAACCAGGGAGGCCTGGGAAAGGATCTTTGGGTTTGAAGTGAGAACGAACAGCCAGTTGAGCAGGCATCCCTGGGAGTCACAGGGGTGAGTGGCCATGAATTTGGAGCGGAGCGGTCAACATTTTCCCTGGTCCCACTTAGCTCTCCAGGGCAGGCATGGAATGGGCTGAGTTGACTTAAAAATAAAGGGCATATGATGAAGGGTGAGAAGGGTAAGGGAGCAGAACATGGTGTTGAGGGTATGATTACTATGAGGTAAGAAGTGAAGAGAGGGCACAGCCAGGTGGCAGGACTGTGATAAGGTGTCAAGAACAGTGGCTGGAGAGGTGAGTCTGAAATCAGTGTATATGGGGCTCCTGTGTGGGGTGAGATGGAAGTGAGGACGGGTGGGGTGCTTGGACCTGAGATCAGGGAAAGGCTGCAATACTGATACTGAGACACAGGGCAAGCTAGGAATTATGCAGTTTTAGGGACAGTGCAGGAGGGGACCTCTGAAGAATTTAGGGAGGCTTCAGAGATAAGGACAATCAAGGGAATGTAACCAATTCCACTAGGAAAAACAAACATCTCAGGACCAAGGACAACATTGTTAAAGCTGGTCCTGGTTTCCTTCAGGTGGTAAAGGGAGGCAGAGATTGGAGAAATGGAGAGTGGTTTAATTTATGGACACATTAGAAGGGCAGCTGTTTAACTTCAACGCAGGGATGCCCATCCAGAGGACTGGGCCATAAAGATAAAGATGCAACAAATGGGGAAAGAGAAAGCTGTTAGATAAGGAATGTGAAGATCCCCCACTCAGTAGCAAATTAAGTGAGACAACCGAGAACTAACCAATCACAGAGAGACTGGTGGAGCTTTAGAATAATGAGGGAAAGAAGGTATATATTCCCTGAGACACGACTCCACTTTGGCTTCCCTGCCCCTCCCAGGCCCCTGGGAGTCCCACTTTCTGTTCTTTTTCTCCTCAATAAACATTTTCTTTCTCTAAACAAACCTGCCTCTTCTCGCTTGCTTGCCTGAGCGTCTGCGAAGTTCCTGCTGTGGCTTCGTGAGACACCAGCCCGTGGGGGTCTAGTGGCTGGGGCTCAGTGCTGCCCTGCAGCCTGGGATCTGTTCCTGGCTGACAGACTAGGCCTGACAATTCCGGTATCAATACTGACCAGCCTAGAACATGACCACGGGCAAGGGTGTTGCAGTTAGGATGTGGCTGGTCAAGCAGGAGAAGGCCATGAACCTAGAGGCTTGGGGCACCACAGGGTCACCTCAATGGACCCTGACATCACCAGCAGGCTGCCTTTACTCTCTGTGAGAGGAGATAATGTGGGGTGTGTTCAAGAAGGCCAATGTAACTGGGCTTGATATAGGGGAGAGAGAGGAGGGGGCCATGGAAGATGAGGAAGGGAGCCAGGAGCCAGACCTGGCAGGTCCTGGTGAGGCCTTCCCTTGCATTTTATTCTAATTGTAATAGAGGGTTGTGAGGAGGGGAATGACAAGATCTGGCCTGCTCACCCTGGGCAAGTTTCTTCACCTCCTAGTCTCATGAGAGCCTTATGTGAAAAGGACTAATTATATTTGCCTTTCAGAGCTATTATGAGTATTTGAGAAAATGAACAGGCAACCAAAAGGTGCCCCCATTGTAAATGAGAACTTTCTTGGCTGTGATTGCTGGTTACTGTCTGGCACCAAGGCCTGTGGGAAGCATGTGGTCTCTGCCCCAGCACTCCTTGACTTTCTGAGTGACCATGGGCGACTCCTTTCTCTTCTCAGGGCATTAATGTGCCCACAAAAAAGCAGGAAAAAGAGACGAGTGAACCAGACAATTGCCAAGGTCTGTCCAGTGCAGGTCTCAGCTCTGTGGCCCTGTCTAGTAGGTGAGACAAGTAGGTACATAAACTACAACATGAGCATCAGTGAACCAGTCACAGACAAGATGAGTCAGTCATTTCAACCGGGGTTCCCTGAAAGACCCCTAGAAGAAAGTGGGACAGGGTGGGCCATGGGTGGGACAGGGGAACGCGAGTGGGAGAAGCTGGGAATGAGATTAGATGGTATATTGGGGTCATTTGTAGGAGCTGCCAGCTGCAGTCCCAGGCCCCTGGATCACATGAGGACTTTGGATATCATTTGTACTCAAGGAAGAAAAGGCGGAGGAAACTCTGAGAGTTTTCCTTGGTAGTGAGACTGTAAAAAGAAATGATGGCAGTGGTCAGCCTCACAGGGTGTGTCACTGTATCCAACAAGCAGCCAGGACTTGGTGATAGAAGGTCAACTACTCATAAAAACTGAGCAGATACAATGAAGCCACATGCATTTTTTTAAAAAATTTTTAAACAAAACCATTGTTAAAAAGCAAACAAAGATGTACTTTAGAAGCAAGGACAGAGATGGGGAAGGAGACAGTGTGCACCACCTACTATGTGCCAGATGCAATGCTTGGGAGCCACCCATACACTGGTCCTATTATTCTGTTTTATAGATAAGGAAACTGAGGAGGTAAGTAACATACCAAGCTCACAATGCCAGCTAGTAGCAGCTATTGGAATCTCTCCATTTGATTCCAAAGCCCTTTCCATTCACCCATTCAAAAAATTGTTTATTTTGTTTCTCTCTGTGTTTTAATCCACAGCTCCTGCTCGACATGACACCATAAGGAAACAAAACACACAGCACCTGGCCAGCCCGCCCCAGTCACTCTGGAAGAGGAACAAAGGATGCCCTCAACATGCTCACGCATAAGGACCCCCTCTGTCACTCTATCCTCGGGGTCCCCCACTGTCAGGGCAGATGAGAGTTAAGTTTTGTCAACTTTTGGGTACTTTGAAAACTCTCCTGAGATAAGACAAGAGAACTTGCATAAAACAAATGCAGTGGCTGAACTTCCACTGCCGAGGAACCTGACTGAAGCATCTGATTGCGAAGCACTTTCTTTCCGGCCTTTTGGGTCCCCTCCGGGGGGGTTGGGAGGGGCCGATTCATTCCTAGTGGGATAGAAGTCCTGGGATGGGTTAGTCACGGAGAGGGCCAGCCAGGCCGGGACTGAGGCCTGCTGCTAAGCTGGGAAGAACTCAGCTGTGCTTTAGAAAACTTGGGGAGGGGGCCATACCCGCCCAGCCCCCTCCCCTGCCGCAGCCCCCCCGCTGCAGCGGGAGCCCAGAAGCCCCGAGGGCTGCGGCCCAGGTCCTGCGGCTCTTCGCGGGAAGTGCTCCCTCGCAGAAATGGCTCCTGGGAGATGTAGTTTCCCATCCCGCGAAAGTGGCGCTTTGGTCGGTCATCTCTTGGGCGGGCAGCCGACAGGGGGGCAAGTCTCCCTCCCCGAAGGTGCAGAGGTTGCCGAGGAACCCCCAGATCGCACCTCCCTCTTCTCCAAACTAGAGACCTGCCCAGAGCTGGGGAGGAGGCAAGACGTACCTTTCTGCTGAGGAACTCCCTGACCAGGGAGGCGGCCACCTCCTCCACGAAAAGGCTGTCCATGCTGCCGGCTCTGCCTACGAGACCGCGGCCAGCCGCAGTCCCGGGCCCCTGGATCCGTTGGGGCCAGTATGGCCGCGTTGCCGTGGCGACGGAGTCCTCGGAGCCGGCGAGACTCCTCCCCTTCCCGGGGAGCCTGCGAGCTGGGGAGGCGGGAGGAAAGGGGAGGAGCGTGCTTTAAACTCGCTGCTGAGAACTTGAGCAGCACCCTCGAGGTGGAAGCCCAGGGCACCCGTGGGCTCCGGCCTTGGGTCTCGGCTCTGGCCCTGTCCATCTGGGTGGCCAACACCAGTCACCGCTCCAATCTGGATCTCCATTTCCCGAGATGTGAAATGCAAAGAATCCCTTACACCTTTTCCCAGAAGTCACCTGCAGCGCCACAGCCTTCTGGGTTCACCCAGGTTAACTGCCCATGACTGGCCTGGACAGCCCTTCGCTGGCCTGAACTGTGTGGGGTAAGGTGACCCAGGATTCTGGCCAATTTGACGCCGAAGTTAAAGAAGTCCTTCGGCACCTGCTTTCCCATAATGAGACTGCGGGTTATTAGCACCAAGAACTTCTCACATAGGATCACATCTCTGTTCCTACAACTTCCAGGCAAGGTTGCTGCTATTGGCCCATTCTTTAAAAGAAGACATTGAGCTTCGGAAAGATTAAGATTTTGCTAAAGATCACACAGATAGAACCAGCAAATGTCGGATTCCAGCTAGCCCAGCATCCCCAAACTCAGTCACTTGGGCACACCTTCACAATTGTTCCCCCATCTGCACATTACCTATGCAAAGGGAGCCTATACAAAGTACCAAAGACTGGGTGGCTTAAATAAGAGACTGAAAGTGGATCGAGGTGTCAACAGTTCGGGCCTTATGAGGCCTCTTTTCTTAACTTGCAGGTGCCACCTTCTTCTCTGTCCTCACATGGTCTTCCCTCTATGTATGTTTGTGCCTTCTCTTCTGATAAAGACACTAAGGACACTGGTCATATTGCCTTAGCCCACCCCCACCCACTGCCCCCACTATGACTTTTAACTTCATTACCTTTGAATAGCCCTGCTCGGAATACAGTTACATTGTGGTGTACTGGGGGTTAGGACATTAACATACAGATTTTGGGTGGACAATCCAGCCAATAATACCTATACTGTTACTTCTATATTTTCTTTAACCAACATACATGTTTATAAATTTATTTTTAAAAACATTTCCAAGCAGTAATATCCACAAATCCTGGGCTGGATGTGCTTGTTAAATCTCTCATGCACATTCAAACAAATGTATAACAAGAAAGCTATGTAGATATCTAAAATTATCTTGTGCCCTAGGATGGCACCAATCTCACTTAGGAAGGAATTGTATCACACCTGCAACACTTCCTATTCAAGCCATATTATTGTCTCAAAGCATTTTTCACCTCGAACAGGCAATAGTTCACTGAGAAGCTGTGTGACATGAGCTGCTGGAAATCATATGATTCTTGCTCCAGGGGACCGCATGTTGCAGGTCCCCTGCAAAGACACAGTAATGGATGTGTAACATTAAGAGCACATGAGAGATTTGTACTTGGGTCAGAGATTGTATATCACAGGTAGTAGGTATTACAGAGTCAAGAAAGAGAGATTCCCCTGCAGGAGGAAGATCCAGGTAAAATAATGGCAAGGAGTTAAAATTCGTTCATTCATCAATCCATTTATTCATTATTACATAGTTACTGAGTTTGCAACATGTACCAATGCACAGTACACTATAGATTTAGCATAGTGCCCTCTTGGAGGAAGGATGTAAAAGGAGCAGGGAACAGAGAGAGACATAAAAAGTGAATTGATACTGAGAAATACTGAGAAAACACACCAAGCATACATAATACATGGTTAAAAATCATAGAAAGAAATTAGAGGAGGCCTTTTGATGGGAGCAGAGATCACTGTCTTTTTTTTTTTTTTTTTTAAAGAATCTCCTAAGTAATGAAGCCATTTTTATTTTTTTATTGGTGGGACCCTCACCGGTGGCTGGGGATCAAACTGGCGCTGCAGAGGCTGCAGGCAGCCTCATAACCCAGCGCTCAACCGCTGCGCCACCAGGGGAGGCCCCAGAGATCACTGTCTTAAGTGCATCCAGACTGTTATAACAGAATACCATAGCCTGATGACTTAAAAACAACAAAATTCTGGAGGTTGGAAGTCCAAAATTAAGGTCCCAGCAGACTCAGTGTGTGGTGAAGGCCTGCTTTCCTGGTTCATAGAGGCTGTCTTTACAATGCAGCCTCCTAGCAGAAAGGACAAGTGTCTGTTTTTGAAAGGCTCTAATCCTCTCCAAAGTCCCCATCTCTAATACCTTCACACTGGGAGTTAGGATTTCAACATATAAAAGGGGGAGGGAAGTGTTAACTAGCACATGAGTATTTCAACATATTCAGACCATAACAGTTACTTGGATAGTAATGTGTCAGGAAATACCTGAAGAGAGGGTGGGTCACAGAGGAAGAGCAATCCAGGCAGAGAAAAAATCAAGTGCAAATGTCCTGAGGCAATGTGGAGCCTGAGTGCTTATGAAACAAGGATGCCTGAGGGGAGTAGAGAAAAAAACAAGGCCTCATGAGCCCAACTACAACTATAAAGACAGGGCCATCAAAAGAGCTCAGGTTTTTATTCTGAATTGGGTTTTGAGCAGAAGAAAGACAAGATCTGATCTAAGTTTTGATAGAATCCCTCCAGCTTGTGTGTTGAAATAGATTGTAGAGAAGCAAATATAGAAACGGATACTGGCTAGGAGATGATTAAATAATCAACAACAGTAATCTGGATAAATCTAAGTTGTACATATCAGTGTGGGTGTGTGTGTGTGTGTGTGTGTCTGTGTGTGTATGAAGATGTGTACATGTGTGACACTTTCCCAAATTTGAGACTTTTTTACCACATTGGAATGAAATGGTTAAGCATGGGAAGCACAGGAATGTGTTCTTTTTCCAGACACATAGCCAGCTCCTGGGGACTCAACAACCTTACGATAACCTTAAGATGTCAAATTAAAGGGGACAAGCTGGTCAGGATGGGAAGGGAAAAGGATGTCCTGCCAGCAATCTGGGGGAGAGACTAGATTGCATCACATGTCCATTCTTTACCACAGTTCCCTGCCAGCACCCTGACTTCCCAGCACAGGGGTGAGTTCCCTGTGCTGCAGCATCCCTCGGAGCTGCATGGGAGCCCGCTCTCCCACTGGGGAATGGGAAAGGTGGCTGGGGTCCTGATGAATGGCGCCTCGTACTACACATGTGAAAGACGTGACAACAATGTCCTCAAAATAAGGATCCAATCTTTATAAAGCTCTATAATCATTTTAAAAGAAAAAGATGCTTTTCTGAGTTCCATAAAACAAGGATAGGGCCTCCCCTTGTGGCGCAGCGGTTGAGCTCTGGGCTGCGAAGCTGCCCCCCAGCCTCTGCAGCGCCGGTTCAATCCCAGGCCACCAGGCGAGGGTCCCACACGGCGAGACAGACCTCTCCTGCCGCCTGCTGCTCCCCTCAGCAGTGTGCTTTGGTCCTTCTGCCTCTTCTGCTCCCCGCTCTGGCTCTGGTGAATTCTCTCACCCTCCCACGCTTCTGACTGTGCCCAGTGCTTGTATAAATAATAAATAAATAAATCTAAAAAAAAAAAAACACAAACAAGGATAAACCCATGGAGCCACTAACTACATAAGAACTATAGTGCAGTACCTGGCAAACGCAAATTCTCTGTGCCACACACTGGCCTACAGAAGCCAGCGCTGGCCACGATGAGCATGGGCCTCACTAGCGCCTCATGGTCATTTCATTTGCCTTCTCAGAATTCAGTGGGGACCACTCGGGCCTCCCCTGGTGGCGCAGCAGTTGAGCGCAGTGCTGTGAAGCTGTCCGCAGCTTCTGCAGCACCGGTTCGATCCTGGCTGGCCTGCGAGGGTCCCACATGGTGCGGCAGACTTCTCCTGTCTCTCCCCCTGCTCCCCTCAGCAGTGTAGTTCATCAGTCTGCCTGCTTTGCTCCCTGCTCTGTCTCTGGTGAATCCTCTCACCCTCCCGCACATCTGGCCTGTACCCCAGTTCTTGTATAAAATAAATAAAAATAAATCTTTAAAAAAAAAAAAAAGAATTCAGTGGACCACTCTCCCAGTCGAGCAATGGCGTGAGCAGAAAAGCTCGCTCTCAAAAGATTACATACAGTATAATATCCTTGTATAAATTTAAAGACAACTGTAACGCCCAATCGTAATTGTGGGAAAATATAACTTCAGTAAAGTTTTATAAAAATAAAAGCAAGGGAATAAAGTTTACATGATTCAGGAGAACAGTCCTCAGGAGCAGGAGGCAGGAGGACAATGCAGCGGAGGATCATGGGGAAAAATAGAATTATGCAGGTTCTGGGGTCAGTAGGCATTTCCTCCATAAGCATTTGTTATGTCATTCCTGGCGATTCATTAGTTATGAAAAATGGCTTTGCAGGGACCAATGACGAGAGAATATATCAACCAACACAGCTCGGTTCAGGAGGAAGTAAGGGAAGAAAGAAGAGGGAATCTGAATGGCCTTTTACATTGAAGGGACAATCGAGGGAGCCTTGCCTCATGACACAGCTTTCACACAGTGGAGAAAGGAATTGTGTACATGCATGTGTGTTTGTGTACACGCATGCATATGTATAAAACCACACACTGCTATATAGCAGCGGCTCTATCTAACTATGAGCTTCTGAGCACCTGCATAAGTGTGTCCAGACACAGGAGTCTATGGCTCAGCAACAGAGTGCAGCCAGTGGAAGGGCCTTGGAACAGGGAGATGAGGCTGCTGTACTGTGAGAGTGTCAGCTCAGCTGGTGCCCCACCAGGATACTCCAGGGAGGATCCCCCTCCAAACTAAGGCTTCTTAAGGGCAGGGCAAAGCTACTATTTACCTGGGTCAGGGGATTCTAGAGAACAGAAGTACAAACATGTGTATGTGTGTTTTCCCAGGGTCAGCAAGCGGGAACATGGATCTGACCATGTGCCACATGTCTGGCCCAGCTATTTGGGAAGGATACTGTGGAAGTTCCTATAATGAAGTGACTCTCGGACTTCCCAGCTGTCTGGTCTCCACTCC